ACAGTACTGACGATGCCGGCGAAACGTCTGGGAATGTACCACGTCCACGATCCGACTTTGAAAACAAGTATGCATACAATGGACTTCGGACAAGGTGCGTTCCTCTAAGTCTTACTACTAACGTGACCAAATTGCGAAAACAAGGTCAAATAACTTTTTAATTGTTTTTGTTTAAAAATGGTCAGGGAGCACTATTAGATTTTAATTTTCAATTTCCCCTTCATTTAGACAAGATTGTTGTCTTGCCGTTTGGGCAGCTTGGTAGTATGATATCTCTTATCTACTTTGTAGCCAAGATACTTTATTTGCGTTTCGAGTTGATAAAATTTTACTTCAATAAGTAAATCGTGAAATTTCCTGCAACATTTACAGACGTACTCAGAGTTAACCTTTGATGCTGCCTACTACTCTAGGCTCTTACTTTCAGATTTTCTTATGCTGCTTCCTTTTATCATTTTTATAATTAGTTTATCTATTAATCTATCCCAGAATCCTTCACTCAATCGTTGTATCTATGAGCTTATAAAACTCTCATTATTGGACTATTATCAGCCCCCTTTGCTTTACTTTGCATGTCACCTTTTTTTTATCAAAGCTGAAATTATTCATCAGATTACAGAGCAGTGCCATCTTGATTCGCCTTAAAGTCACCTCTAGTTCACTTAAGCATCTTCACTCCATTTAAGTTTGTGCATATTCACCTTTAGCGATTTTTTCATCTCATAATCTTTATCACCTATCACTTTGATTGCATCGTAAAGCAGCTGGTGCTTAATTTTTCATAAAGAGGCCAACATGATTCTTTGGCACTCAACCTCAAGCTTCGTTTTTTATTCACGGGATTTCATTATATCCATCTACTTGATATGGAAGGATTTATCAAATCGTCCCCACTTTGAAAAGCTATTATCTGCATCTTGCTTATTTTATTATATTCATAAATTATTTTTCTCAACATCCATTTCCAGGCTGTTCTCTTTTTTTGCATCGAGGCAAGCCATATGAGTCTTCCACAACTCGTTTCTCCTATCAATCCTCCACTGTCAAGTGGGTCTTCATTCCGCCGCGCCAGCGACATGCAACTCGACCAATCGACGAATGATGGGCAACCTGGTCTTGTGGCGGTAACTGCAGCAACTTCGCTCGCCCCCTCAGCCGTAACCACCACAGCCAGCTTTCATCTAATATCAGGCGCCCTCCTTTGTACCGCCAGACTAGCTCGCGTCTTTTGGCGCCAAGCACTGTTCGTACGTGAGTCAAATTCAGAACTACTTTTTGATGCAAGGTCGGGTTTGGAGTCTGGATTCTGGGCTCGAAAGGCCGCGCGGCGCTTAGGTGGCTGGATGGTGGATGTCGCAACTGCGGGTCTCACCTCAATTTGGACTGGCCTTGGGGAAATTAGTCGCGGTCAGCTCCTGGGGAGTGACCGATCTGCTGGCCTGAGAAAAGCAGCTGGGTCTGCTTATCCTTCTGAGCTAGTGAGTTCTTCATTGAATAACTGTATGTCTAATTTTAAGGTATATGATGAAATGAATTATATTTTTGTGTAATTATTCCTTTGGCACTATATCTAGTGCTGTTTAGCCATGGGGTCCTAGTGTATATAATTTCGTAGGCTCGATAGGCTACGCTGTTTGAGGAAATATTCCTTTTTATTTCTGTGTGCAAGCAAGAATCAATTCACTAGATGGAATCATTTTCCTGCTCTAGCAAAGCCTTAAGACAAATTGTGTTACAAAGAAATTGAAAGGAAGGAGGACCCAAGAATAGATACTTTCCAGAAGGTCTCCCTGACGTTCTGATCAAGTTGTGAAAACAAGGCCGAACCAACACTATAAAACTAAGGAAGATTGCGACCAAACA